GGACAGAGTACAGATCTATTAAAATCAAAATAATTACTATATTTAAAACTATGTTTCAAAGTTAAATAAGGAAATCGCTCTAATACTATTTTAATAACATGTTTTTGTTTCTCTTCCGGGTCTTTAGGTAGAATAGAAATTGATAATTGAAGTTTGGATGGTGTAGGCTAAACATTTATCTGTGATACAAATAACGTCTTTTTTTCAGCATCTTTTTCGATTTGTAGGGGTTTGGTAGTTTCAGAGTTTATCCAAGGATCGAGCCTAGTCTTCTCTGTATATGCTCTATATAAGCTCAAATGAATTTTATCTGTCAAATGACTCGGTGAATCAACCAATTTAGCATGCCAGTTCAAATATTCAGGAGTTAAGACTTTATCTATATTATTGTTTTATATGATCGCAAATTCAAATTGTATCTTTGTCTTACTTATACAAGGATACTTACATGCTGACACTGTGCATATCCCGAAATAGTAATTAGCGGAGCAAGTACCAAAGGTGGTAAAAGAATATATCTAGATGACTTATGCCATTATCTCAATTTCATGCCCACCACATTTAATAAAATAGAATCCAGCTTCATATCTACCTTTTATACTTTTTCCTTTCTCATGACTTTGTTTGCATACTCGATATAATGACCCCTCATGAATTCCATAATAATCAAATTTTTCACTACTAAATTTTTTATATAGATCAGAATAACTCCACAATATCTTATTACGAAAATAAGTGCAATCATGAGTTTGTATACTTATCTGAGGTGTGGATGAGATCTTAGTTTCTGGTGGGATATTATTAGCTGATACACTTTCAAATGGAGTCTCTTCAGGATGAGATACTATAGGTCAGTTTCTGGTAAAGAGTTATGAGATGATGGAGATGATGAGATAGGAGTTGTGGTTGATTCATTTACTCCCGATCGTGAAGAATTCTTCATGGTTTTCAAAATCACATGATCTATAATATTTTGAATTTGTTGATAACTAAGACTCGAAATAGCATCTGCGCTATAAGAAACCAGTTTAATTTTCTCTATTTCTAGTGTATTAAATAGTTTATATAATTTCCTAGCTCTAAGGATTTTTTGACGTAAATTTACATCAGTTATATTAGGTAGAAGTTGTTTGATTTCTCGATATACTATAAATGTTGCAGTTTTTCTTTTAATTCCACTAATAACAACCTCATCGATTTTTTTGTTATATTTTTCTATAAAATAATACCAATAAAGTATCCCTTCTTGTCTCGATTGAATAGCTTTATAAAATACATAAACTATGCTTTCCGCTGTAATTGAAAATGAGTTTTGATCTTGAAGCCGATCTGAGGCTATGAGAATAGATATAGGTATTGACAGTTGTTGTTTTAACTTCTGTTCAGTAATTAGATTTTTATCCAACTTAATAATAAGATCATCCAGTAACTTGGATGTATTAACTGAAGATAAGTCTTGAGCTTGAAGCTGTTTCTCTTGATTATGTTGCTTTATCTTGTTACTGGATTCATCAGAACAAGTGTTGGTCATAGAATAGTCCATTTCTTGATGAGTCAGAGAATCTGTGACTTCTTTATCTTCTGGCAAGTTAGGTTTTGTGTAGATAGGTTGACATGTGTCAGAATTGAATGTGTTATTGGGTATATTTTTTGAACTTTTAGATGAGTCATTTTGAGGCATCTGTTCGGGAGTGTTATTCAGATTTATTTTGGAAGAAACACTAGTATTAGATTGTTTGATTTCCTTTATATCGTCATCTAATTTGGCAATAAGGCTGGTCTTTTCTTTATCTTTCTGTTCCAGATTTACGAATCTCGCTTCATACTTTTCTAAAGCTTGCTTCAATTTTACATTATCAGCTTTAACCTCAATATTCTCAGCCAAGAGTATAGTATTCTTCTCCCTAAGTTCAGTAATCTCGGATACAAGCTTGGAATTCTGTTTTTCCAATAAATCAATTTTAGACTGTGTATTTGCTATTGTTTTATACAAGATATAGATATGTTCAAAAGTTTAAATTAATAAAAATCATGTACTATCAAAAACCATGAAGATTTTCTTCACGATCAGAAAATTTTGATTTCAGAATAATTATTGAAGGCAGTCAGAGTGGCTAATCAATAGTGATATAACCCATGAAAGAGCTATTATCGCAAAGTGATTTATTATATAGAAAATTACTATTTTGATGAGCCTTGATTGATTACTATTCAACCTGATCACTTTTACTAAGAAAAATTCTCAATAATATATAACATATCAATATATCATATATAATATCGAAATACACCTGCAAAAGTAAACACGATTATTTATGTGAAATTAGCCACTGGGGCCAGCTTTATTAATGCATCAAAATAAAAATAAATTTGGAACAAATACAAGTCTACTCATCTTATTAATATAAATAAAGACACAAAATAGTAATAAATATAATAAATTCTATCTGAACAACGTTTCCTATACTTACCTAATATTAACGGGTGGTGATAAAACAACAGGACCTAATTGCAGATTTCAGCATGATCAAGACGTAGATACATTCTTGAAATCTGAGCTTCTTTTCGATTTTAATTTTAGGTTAGATTTGTGTCTTTTGGGAGGATTTATTGTTTTGGCTATTTGTTCATCGGAATTATCGCTATTTTCCAACTTGTTTTCAAGGTAAATAGAAAGCTTCTGTAATGTACATATAATCGCTGTCTATTATGTAAAAAAAGATGATAATGAGTTATTAAAATCTTATAACTTTATTAGGGAAAAAAATTTAATACCCTTAAAGTTAACAACGAATGAATAAGTGGATAGACAGTATTAGCTGATACTGCATGTAATGGTATGGTCGCTTGAGTTAGTAGGCAATTTTTAAGAATTCCATATTCCATATACATATTATAAATTCTTAAATTATTCCCTAAAAAATATTACTTGTTAGATTTGTTTTAATTGGCTATTTTTTTTGCTTCAACATACCAGTGACATTGATAGAAAATATTAACAACAAATTACTCAATATTCCCTTTTTAATGTATTGCTTAAGATGGGTCCTTGCAAAATCCATCGAATTTTTTGCAAGTCACGCCAACTTTAAGCGATCTTGTTTCTGTTTTTGTTTAGAAGAATTGGGGTGACCAGTCTCCATATTTAAAAGATCAATTCTTTGATTATTTAAATATGCAATAAATATAAGATCTGGTCTATATGTGATACGTGAATCACCCTTTGGTATGGTATCGGGCCAACTTGCCATATCACTTCTAATTTTTAAGAAATAAAGTTATACCTTTTAATATCATCCAAAATGAAAACTAATTTACATACCATATCCTCCATGTTTTATCTTTTACTGATAAATCACCCAAAGCAATGCTAAATAACGGCGTTAAAACTTCACAAACATATGATCCCTCATTTATAGCCATCTGGTTTAAAACATACGACTTATATTTTGGTGAAATCCAAACCTGATACCTAAAAATTATATTATTTTTATTATATTACCAGTCAAGTA